TTCGGTTTCTAGGTTAAAAGGTTTGAAATGAGAAGAGGCAATTCTAGTCTTAACCTTTTCAAATCTCATGTTTCAGACTCTTCTGATAGAAGATGAAAAACTGTCCTTTTACACACAGAGTTCAAGGGCAGTTACATGGTACAGGACAGTGAATAGAGTCTGAATGTAGAATCAGAGAACTGGCGTGTTAGTGATTTAATATCATTCCTTCATCACCTCACCTGTCTTTTAAGTCAATTATTTAAACATTTAGGTCATTATCTCAGAGAAAGTCACCAAGGACAAATGTAGGACAATTGGGGGTCACTGTCACCTAAACCTGGACTGCAATGTCTAATCCTCGGGAACATATATTCGAAAGAAAGGCTTAATCAGCTAAAGTGGGCTTAATGCAAAACCTTTCCATTGAAGTTCATTGGAAAAAGGAGCCTTATCCAATTTGTTAACCCTACCCTTAAATCGAAAAGATCAGAATACCTGAAATAACACTCTTTAAATTCTTGTTTTAATTTTTTTCAGTCTTTAAAATGTTACCTGAACGGTGGCCATTATGAAGTAAGAGGAACCATACTGTGTTTTTTTTTTTTAGAGTAAACAACTAAAAAACTAGGCAAAATATATGAAGCAATGTTTTTCTGACCGTAGATGACAGTCAATGCAGCCAGTGCCTTAAGAAAAGGGAAATAAGAAGACCCACTGCATGGGAGAACATATTTGCCAATGATATCACCGATAAGGGTTTAATCTCCAACATTTACAAGGAACTCATGAAACTTAATAATAGGAAGATAAACAATCCAATCAAAAAATGGGCAATGGACCTAGATAGACACTTTTTGAAAGAGGACATACAGAGGGCCGAAAGACATATGAAAACATGCTCAAAGTCACTAATTATACGAGAGATGCAAATCAAAACGACTATGCGGTATCACCTCACAACTGTCAGAATGACTATCATCAACAAATCAACAAACAACAAGTGCTGGCGAGGATGTGGAGAAAAAGGAACCCTTCTGCACTGCTGGTGGGAATGCAGACTAGTGCAGCCACTGTGGAGAACAGTATGGAGCTTCCTCAAAAAACTAAAAATGGAACTCCCATTTGACCCAGTGATCCCACTTCTAGGAATATATCCCAAGAAGCCAGAAACACCAATCAGAAAGGATATATGCACCCCTATGTTCATAGCAGCACAATCCACCATAGCTAAGATCTGGAAACAGCCTAAGTGCCCATCAGCAAATGAGTGGATTAAAAAACTGTGGTACATCTACACAATGGAATACTACGCTGCAGTAAAAAAGAAGGAACTCTTGCCTTTTGCAACAGCTTGGATGGGACTGGAGAGCATTATGCTAAGTGAAATAAGCCAGTCAGAGAAAGATAAATACCACATGATCTCACTCATTTGTGGAATATAGAGAACAACATAGACTGATGAACAGCGACAGATCCAAAGACAGAGAAACAGCAATCAGACTATTAATCCCCAGAGGGAAAGTAGGGGAGGGTGGGGGTAAGGGGAAGAGATCAACCAAAGTACTTGTATGCATGCATATAAGCCAAACCAATGGACATGGACAACAGGGGGATGAGAGCATGAGTGGGGGTGGGGGTGGGGATGGGGGTTAATGGGGGGGAATGAGGACACATTTGTAATTCCTTAACTAATAAAGAATTTAAAGATTTAAAAAAAAGAAAAGAAAAGGGAAATAAAAGAGGTGAGCCCAGTTTACTGACTGGAGAGAATTTATAGCCTACAGTGCAGGTGGAAGGAGGCCAAGTGCAGCCCAGTGATGTCTCTGAGTTGAGGAGATAATTAGGGAGACTCTCAAAGTCAGGGAAACAAGGCAGCTGGAATTCAGGGACAGGACAGTCATAAGGACAGGGCTACACAGAGAGAAGGGTCTGAGGATTTGCAGAGGACTCCCCTTGAGGCTGTAGCTGAGTACTGACTGGCACAGGCATGTGAGGAAACTACCTGTACCATGGATTCGAGGGCACAATAAGTGGCGTTCATGTAGGACCATGAATGGTTCATGTTCCCACCAGCCAGAATGGAAAGACCTTCTAACACATGGCAAGGAGTACTGTCCTTAGAAGGGTAGTGCCTGAGTAGAGAAGTGGGGACGATTGAGATCAAAGGCTGTTAATTAGATCCCATAACAAAGGTCAACTGGAAAACTTGAACAGATCAACTGTTTCCCCATAAGATCAAATTGTTCTCTAGCTAATTGCATAATGGTACAAAGTCTAAACCTATTTCAAAGAATTTTTTAAAAATCCAGGACTCAATAACATAAAACTCCCAATGCTCAGTATCCAATAAAATTCCAGACATGCAAACAAGCAAAAATATGACCAATTATGATGCACACTGACCACCAAGGGGCAGACACTCAACGCAGGAGCATCCAAGCTGAGGTGACTTGGCAGCTGTGGCTCTCGGTGATGCACCCAGAACCAGAGAGGAGGGAGCCCGATTCCGGGGTGTGTCACCCGAGAACTGCCCTCTCGCAATTCGGGACCCCTTGGGGGATGTCAGAGAGCCGGTTTCGGCCTAATCCCCTCAGGCTAGGCCGAGGGACCACACCAGTGCACGAATCCATGCACTGGACCTCTAGTACTATTATAAGATTCTAATAGTATATGTGAGGTGGTACAATGTTACTTGGGTATGGAGTATGATAGTTAAATATACTGTATATTCTAAAGCAACCACAAAAATATAACTAATAAGTCAATAGTGGAAATAACTGGAATCATAAAAAACACTTATTTCTTCCCCCAAGAGGAAAAAAAATGACAAAGAATAAAAAACAAGCAGATGATAGCTTTAAACTCAACCATATCAGTAATCAAATTAATTCCAACCGAAAAAGGAGAGACTGTCATGTTATATAAAAAAGAAAAGAAACTAATTTCAAATATAAATACAAAGATAGGCTAAAAGTAAAAGAGTGTGGAAATATAGACCATTATAACACTAACCAAAAGAAAGCTAGATTGGATTTGTTAACATCAGACAAAGTAGAATTCATAGCAACAAATATTACCAGAGCTAAAGAGGGCCGTTTCATAATGATAAATACTTAAGTACTTAATAACAGAGCTTCAAAAAACATGAAGCAAAAACTGATACAAGTGAAAGGAGAAATAGACAAATTTGACCATTAGAATAAGAGATTTTAAATACTTCTTTCAATAATTAATAGAATGAGCAGAAAGAAAATCAATAAGAACACAGAAGACTTGTACAACATTAGCAACAAACTAGTCTAATTGGCATTTGTAGGACACTCAACTCAGCAATGGAAAAATACAACTTATTCTTCTCAAGTGACCACAGAAACAAGGCCAAATAAATTTAAAAGGACTGAAAACATACAAAGTATGCTCTCGGACAACAGTGAAATTAGATGTCAATAGGAGAAAGATGTCTGGACTATCTAAAAAGTTAAAAAATAAAAATAAAATGCCCTTCTAACTAACCCAAGGCAAAGAAGACGTCAACAGGGAAATTAGAAAATGTTTTGAATGGAATAAAAATGAAAACATGATATATCAGAATTTTGAAGATGCTGGTAAAGCCTGGGGTAAAGGTAAATTTCAGGTTACGCATATGTTAAATCTCATCAAATTGTACATTTTAAATATGTGCAGTGTACTCAACAAAACTGCTAAAAAATACTCTGAGCATTCAAACGTTCACTGTTTCTTAAACCAACAATTTCACATTTCTTCATTCCCAACTCACTCAACACCTTTTAAAGGAGTTCGGAAAGTCTGTCTTCATGGTGTTGGCATCCATCCATGAAATATATTTAAAATAAGGTACCTATTTTCCTTTACCAGAAACGTAGGTGGAAGTGAAGGGCTCAGGAAACAAGAGAGCAGATACTTGAGCAACACTGATTTGGAGGGTAGATGGAGTGCGGTAAGCCACGGACATTTCCATGTTCCTTTTTATGCTACCTGGGTACCCCCTTACCTGAAATTGCTTTGGAGCTCCCAAAGTCAATCCGTGTTTCTTTGCCAAATAATGCACTGCTCCAAGAAACTGCTTGAGCTGCCACATGGCTTTTAGCAAAAAAACATATACCTCAGCTTGTTTACATGCTACTCAGAAAAGAAAAACCAGGGTGCATCTGTTCTTCCCATCTGAATCGCAGATACGGCTCAAGTTCTACCCTCTCCAAGGTAACCAGCCTCCCAGTCCCCTCTAGGACCCGCTGACATCCTTCTCCCTGATCTCTGATCTCTGTACAATTCTCAGATTGAATGATGCAAATTATCATTAAAACTGTCTGTGTGTGGAGATTTTTTTCCATTCTTCCCCCCAAATTTTCAGCATTGCCTATAACATGGGGACTTCTGCCCATAGTTCTGCTCTCTTAGGGAAGTAATGAGGAAGCTTTCACTCTTAAGTATTCATATTTCCTCTTCTCAACAGACAGCAATCTGACTGGGGAGGTCAGTGCTCAGGCACACCCAGCTCCTGGATAGCCCCTCTCGCCGAGAGCTGCTGACCCATCGGCAGACCACATCCTACTCTTGAAGGAGCATGCAGTTTCCAACTGCCTCCAAGGGAGCAGACACGTGGTCTTGAGGAGAAGGGAGGAATGCTGTAGGCCTCATTCTGGCCTGGGGTCCAACCCCATTCCTCAGTCCAGCTGATCAGCAGTAGAGCTGAGACTACCCCGCCACCAACAGGAGTGGATGAGACGTATGCTTAATATCACCCACATCCAGAATGCCTTTCTTTTCTTAATTGGACCGTCAAAATGCTACCACTCTAGGCTGACTTTTTATTCAGGGAGTCTTTCATAATTCTCAGGGTCCCGATGAATCATTTCCTAGTCTTTGTCCCCAAGTACTATTTTTGTGCCCTTTCTACACTATTTACTCTGCTTGGCGTTCTGGTTAGTTGTATACATCTTTCTTGACATTTAAATTATAAGCTCTTTAAGAGAAGAGGCTGGCTATGTCATGCTTACCTTTGTATTAATTCCATTTAACTTTTAAAGACATTTCATTTGGATCACCATTGCAATTACTTGTTTACTGGTTGGTTTTGGGCAGACTGTAAATTCAATGAGGCAGTCAATTCTCGTTAATTGTTGTATCTCTTCCACATGGGCACGGGGCTTGATACAGATTAAATGCTCTGTAGATATTTATTGAATTGTACATATTCTTTTACACATTTATAAAATATGTGTTGATTGATCCATTTATTAATTGATAGAAGAGGATAAGATGTGAAAGATGAATCTAAAATCAAAGTGACATCTTATTTAATTCCAGAATAACGAAAAGCAAAACATCACCACCAACAAATATGTACTTCCTCTGAAGGTAACGGTACAGTGACGACAATCATTCCTTTACCCACACAACACATTGTCCTTTGGAGTTTTTGTGCCTATAAATTACTAAGCTATTTAGTGTACGCAATACAAAGGGTAAAATCCAATTTGCATTATCACTGATTGCTCTGGTTTCTAAATGATCACTTTCTAATGAATAGGTTTTTCACATGGCAGATATAAGGAAATCTTGGACACAGAATCCAGCCGATCTGTTTGTTCTAAAATAGTGACTCAGCAGAAGAGTGCAAGCTCCAAGGGCAGTCTGACCTCTAACCGTTTTTTGCTATGTTGTTTGCTATTGCAAAATGGGTCAGATATTCGAGTGCTCTGCTATCCAGGGCCAATGGCAATTGGTGCATCTTGGCCTCAGAGTGGCCCCTTGACTTTTTTTCAATAACTCAGTAGCACTAGAGCAAATCTAATCAAATTTAGATTTATTAGCTAATTGATTAGAAAGGGAAGGGAGAAAATAAAGTCCAAGAAAGTGCCTAATAAACAAAAAAAGTATGCATCTAGTATGTGACTAATGATTGTCCAATCTTATGCTAGATCCTTTGGGAAGCAAGTGTCTGTCCTCTAGAAGCCAACAGTATGTTTGATTTATGCTGAAATAGTATAGCCTATAGTATGTTTGATTTATAGAGAAATAGTATAGCCAATAGTATGTTTGATTTATACTGAAGTTATTATAGAACAATGTGAAGTAGAATATAAGGAAGCGTGAGAGTTTATGGTTTGGTCAATCAGAACAGAGAAGGATAAGAGGGATGTTTCATGGTGAGTCTTGAAGAAAAAAATAACGTAGCAGTTAAATTGATAGAGATGAATAGGGATGCTCAGGAAAGCGGGACCATCCCAAGAGTTACAATGAGAATACTTCACAATGAGACTACGTTAATCTGATCTCCCTCAGAGTAGGTAACAATCCACTAACTGATCTGGCAAATTCAAACCTGATTAAGACTCTTGAGGGGCTTCTGAGTGGGTCCAGTTTTGCTGCAAGTACTAAAGTCCAGGAAAGGGACATCCCACAGGGGATACACGTCTGATGGGACATTTATTATGACCATCTGATGATTATTTTACTGCAGCTTTTCTGGAGGAAGATGTCAACGACTGTACCGGCAAACCCGGTCCCCCGGGTGACAGGTCTATACACACTGTCCATAGCTAAGCTCGTCCTCTAGTGCAGTAGTTCCCAACTTGTAGGAAACATGAAGCTATTTCAAGGATCCCAATACATTCATAGGAGCACCAAGCATTGTCTGAACACCATATAGATTATGCTTCACACAAAGATACTGGCGTGTTCCAAATGTAGGTAATTGCTATTGTTTTTAATTTTTAAACATATATTTTAAAGTGCATAGCCAGTTTATTAACTACAATCATCTAGGACTCCTCAAGGAGCTTGAAGATAATTACTGGACAAATGAAAGTCCTAAGGAAAGCAGCACAGAAAAGAGGTTCATGCCCCAGAGTGGTGGGGTGTGGCGGGGCGGAGGCGCCAGCGAAGGCTTTCCAGAGGAATGTTTGAGTTGGTGTTTCTCAAGAGGGAAGGTGCCTCAAAAGTCTGAACATTTTCTGTAAGAAGTTTTTAGCTTATATTTTTATTCTAGTAAGATTCTTTAAAATACATGCATACATTCTGGATTACCTGGATGCCCACCTTGTAACTGAGCATGTAGCAAGGTAAGAGGAGGATTTGTAGTTGTGAAGTGGTCAGGTGCCCAATCACCTGAGCTGAATTATATACTAAGCCACTGGAGGGACTGAAATGAGAGTGACACCATTTGAATTATATTATATTTTTGAGATGATTCTTGCGAATGTGTGCAGAATGGATTACGCAGAGGGGCAAGAGTAGCAGCAGAGACACCAAGTAGGGAGCTTTTAGAGTAGCCCTGACATGTAATAATGACTAGACGGGCTGGAACTGAGATTGAAGGAAGTGGAAGGATTTTTAAGGACATGACTCGGCTTTCGTTCCTTTGAAAGGAAAGCCAAAGTCTGAACTGAGGCCTAAAGGATGAGCAGTTTGCCAGCAAAGGGTAGAGAAAGGAGGAGGGCGGGAACAGCAAATCCTGGAGGTGAGAGACAGCATGCGACATTCAAAAGAGTGAAAGAAAGAAGGTTAATTGTTTGGGATCTGGAGTGGAGAAGCACGTAAGAGACAAGCCTCCAGGCATGAGCGGGGTCAGATGTGGCCACAGTAAGGAGTCTGAACTTCATTCCTAAAAGCAACAAGGAAACACTGGCTTTAAGCAAAGAGGTGACATAACCCTTTCAAGAAGGATGTGCACTGAGAAATTAGATTGAGTTACAAGGAGTAACCTGGCAAAGGGAGCCTCATGGGGGGGAGTGCAAGTTAAGTGGGCAGCCAACCAATTTTGTCTCAGGCAAAGAAACAGAAAACAACTGTGCTATCACTGTGTACTAACAACGAGAGGGTAAGAACATTAACTAGAATGCAGTCTTTTTTTTTTTTATTCCAAGCTACCTGAAAGTCCTTAATTCTGTACTAAAATATAGACAGATTAGACACATAGACAGATAGCAAATAAAATATACACAAAGAGGTAAGGAAGGGAGGATCCATTGCATCTTGATCCTAATATTTTTATCTGCAAGTTTAAGGTGGTTTTAAACCAAGATCAGAATAAAATTGGTTGTTACCAATGGGAGATTAACCAGAAGATAATTAAATATATTAAGACATTTATGTTCTTTTAAATCTTGCTCTAAATAATTTTGCTACATGTATTCTATTAGTGATTTTTTTAGCAATCAGAGATTTAGAGTTTTTTTATTTTACAGTTTTACAGAAAAAACACAACTGATTTAAGTCTTGGAATCGGTTATGTGCAAGACATCCTCACTTTAACTTAATTAATAGTCATCCCTCAAGGTGCAGCTCAGATGGAAGTTCCCTGCAGGACATCTTCCATAGCATAATGGTTAGTCATGTTTTTGCTTTGTCCTTCTGTGGCACTGTGTGCATAATTCTATCAGTTTACTGGGTTTGTGTCTGTCTCTCACGGGCAGGGATTCTTTCTCGTTCATCTTTGAATAAGACCTTTGCATCCCCAGTGCCTACCCCATTGCTTGAGTCCTAGTAAGTTCAATAAATGCTTGTTAAACTGGTCCATCGCTGAGATACCTTCCAGTCTGGACCCGTGTAGCCAAGCCCGGGCACCAGCAACCACCTGGTGGCAGCAGCCCCACAGGGCAGCATACCCAGGAGGAAGGAAACCGTTTATGGAGAGTTCCTCTAACAATCTACAAAGTCATAGCAAATCTGCCTATACTCCATACTCCCCCACTTCCCTTCCAACTCTTCCCCTACCTAAATATCTAAACCAGCGGTTCTCAACCTGTGGGTCGCGACCCCTTTGGCGGTCGAATGACCCTTTCACAGGGGTCGCCTAAGACCATCCTGCATATCAGATATTTACCTTATAATTCATAACAGGAGCAACATTACAGTTATGAAGTAGCAACAAAAATAATTTTATGGTTGGGTCACAACATGAGGAACTGTATTTAAAGGGCCAGAAGGTTGAGAACCACTGATCTAAACTCATATAGCAAAAAGTCTGTTCATACAAAGTTTTAATCCTTTATCTTTGTTTTCTCAGAATCAGATACTTATAATGAACAAAGAAAAAAGTTTTATAAGTAGGTAAAAAAAAAAAAAGAAAAGAAAAAGTCAGTAGTACTGTTAGATTTTTAACAAATTCCTAAAATACTACTTCAAGAAATTTTACCTCAGAAATACTTTCTGTTGGTTCAAACAATATTGGCCAATATAGCCAAGCACACTATTTAAAGGTTCTTTAGCACTTGTCCAGTTATCACAGAATATGGTCTTTGTGTTTAACATAGAAATTTTATGTGGCATTTTTAAGAACAAGAAATATTTTTATTTGTATCTTATTTGAACTATTATTTTTATCCATCTCGTTCATAAAAAGCAAAATTGAAACACGTTCCTAACTGCTTTGCCAGTTTGGCTGCATGCTGAAACAGCAGAAAATGATCCAAACATCCTTGTCAAAAGCGTTTCCAGTGGTGGAGTGAGGGATCTGCCCAGCAAACCAATTAATAAGACGGAGCACCAGACTAAAGAATTCCAGAGTCAGCAGTGACTAAGGATTCCTCTACACATAAGGAGAAACAGGAACTGTTTCATCATGATAAAACCCTGCGATCAGTGTTCTCAGAAGTCTGTAGGTAACGCTCTGAAAAGCAGTAAGTTAAAATCACGTTATTTTATAGACTCTCAGTCACGCCAGTGTGGGTTGAAATCACTCCCTGGTTTGCTACATTTTAAGTGGCTATATTTCCCCAGCATTATGTAATGTCCAGCCCTCTCTACACCAGCACCACTCCTTTCTCACACAGACACACATTCATATTCTCTCTCTCTGTCTCTCTCTCTAGTAACTATTGATACTGTGGGACATAGTGACAACTCCCATCTGATTTTGCTCAAATTCTAGTGCCTCCCTGTACTATCCCCTTCACAACAAGAAAACACTAGAGAGAACACGGTAACATTTCCCTCTTCCACCCATTGTGGTCCAAGGACAATGTAATAGAAGTCTCCCTTTGTGCAAACAAAGCCCACAGACAGCTTGGAGATGTGCTGCCTTGGAGCTGGCGTGGCTCTCTGGAGCAAGGCGGAGATTTAATGAGGCTTCCCAGACTGAAGGTCATGGTGTGCTGAATAACAGTTTCTGCAGAGAATCATACATTAGTCCCAAAGAACTGCATATGGCTCACAGACAACTGTCACATGCTAACAGAAGACTCCTGATGACTGATGACAGCGTCTCATAAAGTCAGCCACACCCCCCCAAATATCTATCTTATGAGACCCT